TCCCCAAAACCCCAAAACCCCAAAACCCCTTTTTGTGATAGAATATTGAATTACACTCTATCGATAATTTACAGAACTAAGAAGTAGGGAGGACGAAAGGAAAGACGTCTCCTTTATGGAATAGTTAATCAAAGTCAGAAATATTGGCATTCATAGGCTATGCTATTGACATTTTCAAATTTAAATCTACATTCTAAGCTAAAACACTCTTTTTGAAGAGGGTGAAACATATCTTAATGTGACTCATGAGGATTGTTAGAAACACCATTTCTTAGATATTATTTGACCTTAAATTTGATCAGTCTCTTACTTGTAAAGAAGCTTACAAATTCTGGTCTGAAATATTAAGATCGTATTCCAATTTTACATGTCTCAGTAAGGTGAAGAAGCTAGAACGTTCTCTCCTTTGGATATTTTGTCATACATTTTGAAAGCTCCTGTGAATAATACTATTATTGTGCAAAGAATAATGACATAAGCAAGGAAGAGGGCAAGTACTGATGGCTTCCCTATTTTCTCCACAATTTTGTTGACAAACATATTCCCAAGAACCACAAAGACGACAATCATCAATCCAAGGATCACTGCATAATCAAGAGGCATGACTCCCATTAAGAGGAACTGGAATGTTGCTGCGAAGGTTGAAATCATAATAAGGTACATGCTTGTAACTGAGGTGATTTTTGGATGAACTCCAAACTCCATCATTAGTGGTCCAAAGATTACACCTCCTCCAAGGCCTACTAAACTTGAAAGACCTCCTCCTAAAGTTATATTAGAAACAGTAAAGGTCGATAAAATGAAATAAGGTGTGTATGGAACTAAGAATTCTGATCTTACCGATAATTGCAACAGCGCTCATGGCAAAGATTGCTTTATTTTCCCATTGGATGTCTCCTTCTACAAATTCATAGTTAACTTTCTTCTTTAACTCATAATCATCTTTGAGTATCTTGATGCTTCCAATCAAGATTACGATCATTGAGCAAATGAAGAAACTACAGAGAACTAAATCCTTTAATGAGCACTTTTCAAAGGCAAATCCTGGAACTGAGATTATTTTCTTCCTTATAAGAGCCACAATCAGTAAAATAGTTAAACACGATAGAATCAGGGCCATCTTTGGAAGATGAAAATGAGTTCTCTCAGCTCTCTTGATATTTTTTAGATTCCTAGTAATAAATGAATCATCTTCTTGGTAAGCAACACTATGATTCCAAGAGTCTATCGGTTAGAATTTAGTGACATTACCTTCTTCAGATTGACGATTCTCTTGATCTTTGACTTCTACAAGCTCAACTGCTAATTCTTGTTCAGAGTCATCCTCTTTTTCTCTATATTTGTTTTACTCGTTTCTTGATATTCGAGCTTACTTGTCTCTTTTATATAATGAATTTGCTTTTTTGAGGCTCTTGAAAGACACAAAGACAAGAACTGCTCCCAAGGAGAATAAGATTATCACTGATGGGGTTATCACATTCAACTGTGCTCCTACAAAAGATCCAATCATTACAGCTGGAAGCATTAGAGCAACTATGTTATAGTTGACGAGTCTAGCCTTCTTCAATGGATGGGATCCACTGAATTCAAATATGAACTTGGTTATTCCTCCACAGAAAATTACAGCGTTAGAAAGAGCAACTGCTACATTGGTCTTGAATCCATAGAGAAGCAAGATTGGAACAAGTGCTCCACCTCCTCCAATTCCAGCAGCATTTGTAAGCACGGTCTATGTTTTATTTAAAATACTTACAATCGCAATGAGCAATACTGTAGCAAGATATTCGATAGGATCTAGCGGCCAGAAATCTTTGTGATGATCTTCCTATATTTCAAATTTAATCATATCCAAGTAATACTTACCTCAGTGCTCTTTAGTGAAGTATCTTGAGACTCATCCCCTGTTTGGGTAGTTTCTCCTTCTGCTCTAGCTGTTGATGCCAAGACCTGTGTACAAATTAGCAATCTTAAAGCCGTTTTAAAGCTATCTTAAAGACCCAGCTTGTTTATGATTTCAGTAATAACTTAAGCAAGTGATGTAAGAACCTTCGTGATTATTTTCTACGAATAAATGCTTAAGGGAGATATATTCACCTTGAGGTGTTAAAAAATCTAGATCTTGCAATAATTACCATAAGTATCATGGTTGCCAATAATAGACTTCTCCTTGCCCATTTCAGCCCCATTTTGCCTCTCTTTGGGAACAATCTTGGGTAGGATTTAGCAACACTGGTGGTTGCTATCTCTTCTTGGCTCTCAACACACTCCATTAACCAAAAATTTATATAAGTTTCTTGATATGGGGTTTTGGGGTTTTGGGGTTTTGGGGTTTTGGGG